AATTCTGCTTAAGTCACTCTACTTATGGAGGACTGAGAACGGTCTCCAGTACTGTGGAAAGCTTGTCAAGAGCTCTAAAAAGGTGTCCAATAAGAATGTTTAATCAGAATGACTTTTTTCCAGCCTAATCTTTTAAGGATTTGGCACACATGTGACCAAGCTTCCTTGGAACAAACTACTCCAGTCTATATTCATATCCATTGGTAAAATCAATGAGTTGATTGCCTAAAAGAGAATAGTTTTCCAGGAATCATTCTTCATCACAAGTCACCATTCATTAACAGCAAGTAGCCATTTGCAAGCCAATTCCATAATGTAGTGTTTTCAGATCTAGAATTCAGCACCATGGGTGAGTTATGAACACATATTAAGCTCATGGATCAATAAACCTCTTGCTCTGAATGTCACCAGCATGCTGCCGCATTTAATAAAATAAGAAAATGTAATAGAAGGAGCAACAAATTGATAACATTTGCCATGTACCCTAGAAGCTAGGTAACCTCGACTTTTGAGATTTGGTTGCGGCAAAAGTTGGAGCATTAGACAGCCTATTCCTAATGATTCTCCTCTGACAGTACTCCCCAGTCCAAAGCAGCCCATTCAGTAAAAGGTTGCCACTGAGTTATGAGAACCTACACAGCCAAGTGCTTCCCGTTGCAGGTGCTCGTTGGAAAATCTAAGCTCTATGACTGAGGTCACCATTCTCCGACAGGGGTGGGATTTCAAATAAAATGGTTTAGAGTAAGCCTCACTAACAAGGTGGCCTTTGAATGAAGACATAACAGAGGTGAGGGGTGCATCATGTAGCGATCTTGACGAACGTTTCTGGCAGAGACTAATATAAAACCATGGCTGGGAAGATCAAGGAACAACGAGAGGGCTGTTAAGGTTAGGAGATCGTAGCGTATATGGTCAGAGAAATAAGAAGGAAATAATGAAGGACTGCATTGTGAGGAAGTAAGTCATGGTCAGAACTTGGCTGTCAGTCTGAGTGATATGTGAATCCATATATGGTGAATGGGGGAACAGTAGTAGTACATGAACAGTAGTGGCATGTAAACAATTTACTCTCCTGACTCACGAAAAGTAAATAGTATGATATTCAACTAATAACTGTGATGTCAGGTGGGCCAGTCCTGAATGAACTCAGCTTCTCCCATGATCTCTTTCCTAATACAGCAAAATCTTGTGTGTGTGTGTGGGGGGGGTCAGTGTGAATAAATGGAAACCACTAATTATAGACTATTTCCAAAGAAAATACAGTCATATTACCTTCAATGCATATAACAACCGCAACTACGCTAACAGAGCCACTTAGTGGGGGCCTGTTGGGTAATGAGTTATGAGAAATTTATAATAAGTCCATTGTTCATGGATTGCTAAATGCCTGAGAAGATTTCATTTTATTGGGTCTTGGGGACCACCAGTCTTTTGTTTTTTCTCATAGCTTTCTGGGCAGACCCTCTTTTCCATAGATGCTAAAAAGGTTACGCTTTCCTCCTGTCCCTACCCAAATGATGGCAAATTCTGAATTAGTGAAATGCAATGAATGAGCACTTTCGGTAGCTTTAGTGTCTCTTCTACTCAATGTGACACAGGATCCTCCCTCCCCATGAACACACTCCAACGCACTGAACATGCTATATGGTAGTTTATGTCCCTCTGACCAAGGTTAAGACAAATTCTACAGAAATGAGTCTAGACATTTTAAGCTGCAATGGCAGACTATTGGCCACAATTCCCAGGACCCCTTATAGTCTGTGTAGGCTAGAATTTGTTACAATCATCATAGTTAACGTTTATCATGTACTTGTTACATGCTACACACTCTGGTTAGCTTGTAAATTATTACAACAAGCAATCCCTAGACAACCCTCTCGGGTAGGCATTACAATAATCTGCATTTACAGATGAGGAAATTGAGAACTCAATAGTTGAAGTGATTTTCCCAGGATCATATGCCCTTTGCTATTACCTACCTATTCGAGCTCTAAATACCTACATATAGCCAGGCACTTGGAAGACTTATAGGCCAGTATGATCAATCCTCACTATTTAGTGTGTGGTTTGACACCAAAAATATGTGAGTGTCACTGTGACTCCTAGATGACTAGCAAGTGTACCACCACATTTAGCCTTAATTTTTTTTTTGTAAAATAAAAATGTCTACCTAACAGGGTTGTCACAGGGATTACGAGGAATGGTATATGTGGCAGTGCCAATTGCCATGGCTGGCAAATTACTAACTAGTCTATACATGTTTTCAAATCCTTTTGGCTGCCCTACCATGAACTAACTTCCTTTTTTAATCATGGGTGCTGTCCCCAAAAGGACATGTATTCACAAATTCAGTTTTAAGATTAGGGGTTTCCCCTCGATTACCCATTTTCCCTTGTCTACACCCATTTGCAACTGGGCATATGCATTTAATGAGCAACAGTTTAGCTGTAATCGCTTGATCTCTTGGGGAAGAAACCGTTGTCCTTGCTCTCCATCAGCACTAACTGAGCCAACTGGCATAGCCTCTAAGTGGTTGGCAAAGGAAGGAGCCATGAATGCCATGTTTACTCCTGCAAGGCAATGTCACCTCGCTCTAAGATTGCTTCCCCCCACCCAGCCCCCAAGTTATATAGTTTGGGAATCTTTTGCCTTTAAAGAACACCAGGCCCCAAAATAAAATCAGTTACTAAAGTAACATCTGTTAGTATTTCTTTTGTCCATATTTGACACCTTGGACCTGGCTGTCACTAGGGTGCCACAGCTTGCAATTCGGAACAATAAAAGAAGTATTAATAGATGAAAATTTTAAAAAGAAATAAAGCCCATCCAGTGTGACTGTCATTTGCACTTCTTTGTAACAGTCTAGACATACTGTATGGGGTGTGATCCAATGTGATAATTGGTGAGTACAGACATCTTTTCCCATGTATCAGGCTCACCTTCAAATTATACTGTGGGGGCGTATGCCATTATTGGTCGGTTTGCCTTCAGCCTTTCTGGATTCAACAGGCAAAGCCTTGCTATCCTCTCAGCACTCAGAGGCCTTCGCGGGTCAGCCAGGTATAATGGGCAATTATTAAATATAAATCACAAACTTGGGATTCATGGCACATAACTAGGTGAGAACATAAACACTTTTAAATCGGTTCTGTGTTTAGTTTGGGGGTCCAGTTTTCAAGATCATTTAAGCCTCATAATCTTTTAAATGTATTTTTTGTAATCTATTGGAACAGTGTGATTAACGGGGTGAAACAGGCAAAGGCCCAAACTGACTCTGACTATTACTCTTATTGTACATTGAATGTAAAGGTAAAGGTCCCCAGCCTATTGGAAAATCTATTCCCCATGGTTCTGTCTATCAGGCACCAATTCCAAATATCAGAACCCTCTTTGCATCAACTGCTGATGGTTTTCCCAGATTTTCAGTGCACCCAGATGTTTAATTTGAGGAATAAAGAGATAAAAGGCTCATCCAAGGCTCCTGATACTGTGTTGAAGGGAAAGGGGGCAGTGGCATCCAGAATCGATAAAAAATCTGCTACCATCATTTGCTGAATGCAGGGAGAAGAGGAGCAGAGGCAAATCCACACTTCGAAGTTAATCATCAGTGGAAAAGAAGCATGTACACAGAGAACTAGAAACCAGGGCAAAACTATATTGAACAAATGGGGCAAGGCAGAAAAGAAGTAAACTGCATTTTAAATCAAAGTCATGTCTGTGGTACAGGGAATTTGAAAGAACCCCATGTGGGGAAAAATATTTCCTGGGTGCCCTTGGGCTGCTGTTGCTAGTACCTCCTCTCGGTGTGCCTGGCTTTCCTTGCCCCCAGCTGCAGTACATCCTCACTAGCTCCTCAGGCGCAGCCCAGTGAGGGAGAGAACAAGCAAAAGAGCAGCACCGAACCAGTGCCAGGAACTGTCAGCAGTGCCTAAAGCAGCCCGTGATCCATCCGAACCTCCTATTCCACTGAAAGCCAAGATTGGCATCTTTTCTTTTTACTCTGGTTAAACAGCTAAATTAGAGCCACTTGCCTGCTTTAAGGGCCGTGGAAGGACTTTAAATTTTCTTTCCTTTTCTGTCTTGCTTCCTCATTTTTCTGCTTATTTGTTGAGGGAATAAAGTAACCATATGCTCAGTTAATCACTCCCTCCTCTTCTCTTTCCATGTAACTCTCGTAGAACATTTATTACATTTTAACTGGCATAAAGTCAGCTGTTTTCACACCTACTTCTCCTACGAAGCTCTGAGCTGGAAACAAGGAATGGAATCCTTCTACCTCTTGCCCTCCCCAGGCACCTCCCACAGTGTTTTGCATCTATTCGATGTTCATCCGTCTCCCCACCTTCTATAATCCCTGTGCCCCATATTGCTCCTCCACCAAGAAAAATGAAGTCTCCTTAGGGTTTGCTTTTCTTGGTACCACCATAGGATGCAGGAGTCAAGCGCAAAAGATTAAAGCGCACGACGTGAATGAGTGTGGTTCATCATGTTCATATAACCAAAATCACCCCACTGCACTCAGGTTGATTCCAACTCAGTAGGACAGAGCAGAATGACTCCATAGGGTTTCCAAAACCAAAATATATCGGAGGATTTAAAAAAGACCAAGAAAGTCAGATTCTAAGTATTTGTTTAGGCTATGTTCATGGCTGCACTAAGTGTGATGACTTTAAAAGGCTTATTACACATCATATGCTATCCGGGAAGAATAGTTTCTCTGCAGAGAAACAACACGACTGAAGTGGGATATTCTACCCAAATGCTAAATGCGATAGTCCAGTCCTTATGTGTCAAGAGAATTCAGAGAAGAAAGATTTATGTACAAATTTCGTTTCTCTGATACTCCATATAAATTCAGAGTGGGATGATGAGTCATGAAAACAAGGTGAATGTAATAGATTTCAAACTTAAAAGTATGGCCAGTTATCTTTGGCCACATGTTTTAAACTATGCCGTTTGTTACTCTGGAAGTAAAATATTAACTTTTTTTTTTTCTCCAGATGGATTGACCGACTGTGTAGACCCTGATTGTTGTCAGCAAAGCAATTGTTACGTAAGCCCTCTCTGTCAAGGCTCACCAGATCCTCTTGACCTGATTCAACAAAGTCAACCCCTCTTCTCTCAGCACAGTTCTAGACTCTTCTACGATCGAATCAAATTCCTCATTGGCAAGGACAGTACACACGTCATTCCGTCAGAGATCTCTTTTGATAGCAGGTATATATGTATTTATTTTTTTCCTGAAGGAAGAGTAGTTCTGTTGATCCTTAACTGTGAAAGAAAGGTTTCTTCTTATATTCAGGTGCATTCCTATGCCACATGATCCTTATTGCTTTTTTTTTAGGATTAATACTTCTCTGCAATGCACATGCTGTTCTCAAGTCATTCAGGAAGGAAACTAATTTCCAGAGACTGTCGCCATTACAATATGCATATAACATTATTTATAATAAATTGTAAATAGGAATGTAATGACAAAAGGAGATTTATAATTTGTAAAATCTTATTTTGCTACTAGATTTGAACCATTGAAAGATTCTTTAATTAAACTGAAACTTGAAGTTTGATTCCATAATGAAAAATGTTCCCATATGAAAGGGATGCGTGAATTAGATGTCGTAAGGTATAAAGCAAGACTTGTGAAAATATTTTTTATAGGAAGGTTTAACTACATATATTGTCGCTAAAGACCTGAGACCAAAGCCTAACACATTAGGTGAAGATTTTTTTTATTTAAATGAACTTGTTTGAAATGTGATAACATGAGTTTGCTCATTGGTCTTCAGCAAATGTTCTATTTTACAAATTTAGAACTAAAGAAAAGCCATTCAAGTCTATATTTCTGGTCTCGTAAAAAAATATCTTCCATTGTTCATTCCACACATTGTTTTTCCACTGGCTTCCTGGACTATTCAAATAAGCAAAATTTTAAAAAAGAAGAAGCATAGGAAGTATTTGTCTACAAACGTCTGTCAATATCTGACTTGCCCAGTTTTATCCCGGTAAGGTACAAATAGTTAAGTCTTCAACTCCTAGCCAAAAAATTTTGACTACTGGTCAAGGGGTTTGCAATTCAAACTCAACCAGAGGCTTCTTGGAAAACAGTCCTAGTGATCTGTTTCTGAAAGGTCACAGCTTGAAAAACCCTTCGAAGTGCAACATCAACAACCACTACAACAGGGTGGTATCAAGGCCCAAATTAAAATGACTTAGTCAAGAATATATTGGTGAAAAACCCACGAAAAGTACAACTTTCCTCTAGTTCCTAAATGCTTCCTTCCCGCCCCCCATCATGATCCCAATTCTACCTTGCAAGTCTGGCTAGACCAGAGGATGTACACTGTTAAAGATAGGAACTGGAAACATAGGGAGTCCAGGGAGGATGATCCCTTCAGGACCAGTGGTGTGAGTAGCGATACAGGGAGGGTAGAGGGAGGGTGGGTTGGAAAGGGGGAACCGATTACAAGGATCTACGTGTGACCTCCTCCCTGGGGGACTGACAACAGAAAAGTGAGTGGGTGAAGGGAGACGTCGGACAGGGAAAGATATGACAAAATAATAATTTATAAATTATCAAAGGTTCATGATGGAGGGGGGAGCAAGGAGGGAGGGGAAAATGAGGAGCCAGGGGATACGTGGAGAGCAAATGTTTTGAGAATGATGAGGGCAATGAATGTACAAATGTGCTTTACACATTGATGTGTGTATGGATTGTGATAAGAGTTGTATGAACCCCTAATGAAATGATTTAAAAAGAAAGAAAGAAAAGTACAACTTAATCCTAACCTAATAGAAAAGGAACAAGAAAAACATTAAAAGATGTGCATGGAAATTGCTAATAATACTTAGTGCCCTATCCACAAATTACATGCAGGAACTGCTACTGAACTTAAAACTTTGTCATCGTTCTTATTATTGTGAAATTCTGACCGTTGAGGTCTCTAACAGGACTCTAATTCCAAATGCCAATGCATCACAAGAAAGACCTTTTCTGTCAGGGAATCAAGTCAAAATTTATTTTTTTCCAAGAGTTTTGGTTATCTCCATTTTGAAGTCTCCTAGCTCAATAGTCACTCTGGGGGTGACTTTTGAATGGGGTGTAACAAAAGTAAATATGTAGACAATAGAGACTTATTTATTGTATACCAGTGGGACAAAGGAACAACAAAACTACACACAAAACAGACCAGCCAATGTCCTGATTTTCTTATTTAAGGTAGAGGCACGTCCTCAACGCTAGCTTTCCCCACATTTAGGGAGAAGTCATACTTTGTTGACAATAAATAAATAAATAGATAGATAGATAGATAGAGATAGATAGATAGATAGATAGATAGATAGATAGATAGATAGATAGATAGATAAATAAGAATACAAAAGAAATAATAGCAACCTCCGAGACATATCCAATGGCTCACTGAACTTCAAGCAAGGAGAGAGAGCTGGGGCCTGAGGGGGAAAAAAAGTGTGGGACAAGTCATTGTGACCCAGAGCAAGGCGATTGAGCAATAAACTTAGAAAAGTAAGGGCGAACTTAAACCCCTGCCGTTGAGCTTTGCGCTTCAGCAGCGCTTGGGAGCCACTCGCAGAGTGAACAAATCTATTACTTGTGGTGCTTGATGCCCTTCACCACCTCCTGGTTTGATTGAGTTTCCCTCATTCTTTTTCAAAATGTTCTGAGTTATCATTTGACTTTGCAAGTAACATTTAAATTCAAAATGATAGGTTTCCTCCATCCAGTGGTCTCAGTCAGCACAGGCATATCTGTTCTGTCAGGAAAGGCCCTGGCCTTTTTCCAAGGGAAGTAGTTGTGGGCAGGTAATGTAATCATGTTTCCCATAAAAAAATTTTTGTGAAACACACAACACATGCACTATTACTGGTAAAATAAGTCCAATGCTCATCACACATCTATCGATAATCATAGTTTCAAGCTTTTGCATCTATATAGTACTTTTTAGTTTGAAAAGCATTCGGGCACACATTCCTGCTGCAGCTACGGTAGAGAACCTTTTGTGCAGTTCCGGTACCTGTATGACAAGGAAACACCACCTGGCCCAGCACCACCCTCACAACTGTCTGTATCAATCCATCTTCCACCTTGGTAAGGGCCTTCCTCCTCTGTTTTATTTCATTTTTGAGGGCCTTTTTTTCCCACTGCTGCTTTCCTTTACCAAGCACGATGTCCTTCTCCAGGAACATCCTCCCAATAGCACTGTAAAATAAGCACATGGTATGTTACATGCGTTTCAAAGATGAGGAGCTGAGGCTCAGAGGGTTGAAAGGCCCTGCCCAGCATCATACAGCTGGCAAGATGTGTGGCAGTGGGATTCCTGTAACCTTCCCATGACACTACAGCTGACCCATTTGAACTGGTCCTTAAATAATCCCAGTGACTTGGGCCAATTGATAGTAAGAAAATGGTAGCTGGGTCAAAATACATAGAAACTAATTTTTATTTTTCAAACCCAGTTCAATTTAATACATGTCAGTGATATCACTTCCAAATTTCAAACCAGGGCTTCTTCAAGTGCTAAGCTTTTACATGTCTTCTTTACTCTTCACAAGTCCTCCAACAGTGAGTTGTTTCTAACACACAGCGACCCAATATCGGGTTTCCTAAGCTGTAAATCTGTACTGAAGCCGACAGCCTCGTCTTTTTCCAGTGGAGTGGCTAGTGGATTTGAACCTCCAGCTTTGCAGTTCGAAGTCCAATATCAAACCTGCAGCTCAAGTTCCACTTTCCAGAAGAGAGAACAAGCAGAGATGCCAAGAAGTAACTTGGTCACAGTCATCAGAATCAGTGGCAGTCTCTTGTCTGTCGGGGTCAGAGTCAGGATTTGAACCCAGGCAGACTGGTGCTGTAAACCACTATGACTGGGCACTTCGCCACTAGGCTAAGCCACTTCAGCTATTTAGAAAGCTAAGTTAGTTGATCCCGAAAAGATTCATCACCCCAACACAAGGGAGGTTCCCAATATAATTGCTTTATATTCTCATTCCGTCTTTCTACAAACGTTTGGAAGCCCCTGTGTTCCTCCCTGAGGGTGGAGTTGATCTCCTCAGAGTGATCTCAAACACTTCCTTGCCATAATCAGGCGTACCACTTTGCTTGTTTTATTTTATTTTTCCATATCACTGAGACTGGGGAGGCAGGGGAAGAAAGCACCATGGCAAAGGGGCCTGATTTCCTACTGTCAAGATGCGGCCCACGCACATGACTTGCTGCTGAGCATTGACACCATCACTAGCCTTTGCAGATGAAGATGACAGCATGCAGGTGACTAAGTGTGACAAGGGCACACAAAGGTGAAATAAGTATTCGCCCTGTGCTTCTAATGAGAGTGGCCTTTCTGGTTCCACATTTGTTGCACTGTCCTGGGAGTTCACATGCGATGCTTCCCTTCTGTGCCCCCATTGTGACCATGCAGCCTGCCAAAGCTGGAGTCTTTAGCAAGCCCACTCCCATCCCCACCCTCACCCCCACCCTTTAAATACAATGTAGCTTGTAGCCCACATTTCTCTTCTTTTCTTTTTTCCAATGGACTCCAAACATGACCACAAAGTAAACTACATATTCTTCATGTTCGGTATGACTTATTATTTTTTAATAATATAAATAGGTGAACAGAAGCATTATTGATCATCAGTGTCTAAGCATTTAATCACTATTAATAATGTAAAAGGTTTTTATAAATATGTAAAATCAAGAGTACATTAAACTAAACGACAGCAATAATTTGCAAAGCCAGACATTTCCCTCGCCATCACTAATGGAGAAGTGCATTGAAGAAAAAAAATTCTACCCGGGTGAGTGCCACCACTGACAGCAAGGTCTGGCCAAACTCATGTGTCTATTCTGTAACCTTGAGAGGTGATCCCCGCAGCAATCCACATCAAGCATCGACATCAGAGGTTGCTTCATCTCAGCCCACACATGTGTTGTGTTTGGCCCAACAGTTAGAAAATTAGATCCAGTATAAAAATCAAAATGCTGTACTCTTCTAGAAAATTCATGAAGCCTGGCACCTTTGAGCCCCTATGCCTGCCAGCTGCCCTTCTGGGTGGAGCCTGCCTCTCCAGTCCACCACTCACTGTTTTCCTTGGCCCATGCTCTTTACTTTTTGATAAGTTTGAATACGTGTTCCATCACTCCTTGGGTTAATAAACGCTTCCAGGGTGGTTGGTCTTCCCCTGTGGTTTCTTATTTGTCATCA